CAGTATTACCCAGTATAATCTTGTTTTTGATATGATCCATGATAGACGAAGCTTTAATGGATATTTCTTTTTTATTGGTCTCAGTTTCTGCACTGCTCAATTCAACAGCAATTGCTAGATTGTCATGGAAATGGCAGATTGAAATTTATATCTCATTTCACTAAAATTAAATTAAAAATGGATCAATGCGGAACCTTATGTGGGGTGACATTGGGCCAAATATAAATTTGGTTAAAATATCTTAATATAGATATGTAAATTTATCGTAGCTATTAGGAGTACGCTTCGTTGTGATCATAATTTGCATCATATGAATGGCTGTAACCCTCGTCCATTCACATAAAAATGTGTTTGTTTGCCTGTGGACATTTTTAATAACGTGGTTTTGCTACTATTTATGACACTTCACTTTACAGCAATATTTAAATAAAACAACGGTTTAATTTTGCCTACACTTTACTTAAGGAGTTCAAGGAACATGTTCTAGTAATCATTATCTGTATATTCAAGATATTTGCATCAATAAACAATGTCACCCCATCGCTACATTTTATGTATAGCAACCGCAAAGTACATTAGTGTTGCAGCGGCACCAGCCAAAAAGCACTCGCATGTATCGTGCTACCTGCCTCTTTTTACGAACGTCCTCCTCTGGGTTATTTGCTATCACCATAGAGATCTCAAGCAGAATCTATAGATTACTAAACATTTTCACGTCCGGTTGTATTGGTGCGATATGTAAGGGCGTTTTAGTGAAAATCCGAGGAAAATACATAACAAATCGCTGTCAAGCTCATTTTGACAGATCTAATGTCATACATTTTTAAGTTAGGGTGCGTGCGTTAAACATCACTAATACCTTTAATACCTACTGAACAATGATATGCGGGTCACTCACAGATGAGATAACTCCCTTTTTTATAAACGCACAATGTACTTTCTGTAGGCATTGTTATTGTTGGACTGCATGTAAGCTATTTTATGTGAGCTCTCCTATTGTCTGCTATCAGTCAAGTGATAGTGGTACACAGTGTAAGTAGTGTTTTTTTCCCTAGTGAAATTAATAAAATAAATTCCATTCATTTTATCCCAACAAACAACTTAATCTACAGACTAGCTTATATAGGCAAAAATTAGTTGTATAAGCCAATTTTTGGTTGTATAAGCTAATCTACAGCTAAAATTGTTTGTTGGGATGGGTCACATAACATATGTGGAACTGCATGCAAATTAACTTTTTAAAAGTTGACCCCTTTTTTGTGTTGCCTCAGTGGCCAAAGATGAATACTGACATGAAACTGTCGGAAGAAAAACTTTCAAGGTTAGTGTCCTCTTTCATCAACCATAGAGGTAACTCTAAGACTATAAGGTCCCGAAATAACGTGCTAAATTTTTTGGCTCAGCTCTAGTACTCTCTTCGGTCACAAGCTAATTGATGCACCCCTCGAAACATAGGAAAATCCACGAACCCCTCATTTTATCTGTCAAACTTTCATAGCGAACATTGGATGCGAACCAGCCCCAGGCTGAAAGAATCCCTAATAAAGATAAATCAATCAATCAATCATAGCGAATCAAAACAAACATTGTATAGTACTAGAATTTCGACTAGAATGGGGTACGTTAATCGATTTACTTGGGACCAATAGGCTAGTCAAGTAGTGAGCCAATTTAAAATCGTTAGTTTCGTATTGATTGTTGGTTTTAGTGTATCATAATTGATCTACTCCTTTTCCAAAACATTTTCAATTGGTTGTTAAGTACACTGTGGTGGGTAGTACACGCAGAAAAAAAAATATTTTAAACGGAATAGTATTTAACGTAAAATTAATAAGAATTTCATTTTGTTTTGGCTGCAAAAAGAAATCATTATTATTTCAACAATCCAGTATCTTTGTTTCTAAAAACCGATGGATTGATCATAAAAAAATATTTTCGAATTTACAAGAGCTTTCATGGTTTTGACGTAAGCTGTTTGTTTTTAAAAGAGATTTCTTGTTGATTCAATCATATTTATTTTATTAAGCCTGAAAATATACGCAGTAGAAATAAAAATATGTTTATTGATTCAATAATGTTTTGTTTTCTTTATTGTTATAATTACAATTGAATTAAAAAAAAAAAACCTTTCTGAGGCATAAAATCTCTACGGTTCATGAGTTGATGGGTCGATAGGTTGGGTCCAGGCGTCCAGGTGTAGGAGCTGCCTTCCTGGCGTCGGGAGCATTGGTACTCAGTACGGAAAACAAGATCGACGGAAAAAAAACTGTTTATATTTAGCAACTGCAGCATACTTACTTACCTCAAGTCTCAAGAATTTCGGAAATCTGGCCAGGGGAACGGACATATCAAATAAATGCTTAATTAAAATTAACTATTGGTGGCTTAATAAAAGAATATTGTTATTTTCGAGGGGGCGACTCTATCTACGATGCAGAAAAGTTTGTGTTTTGCTGTGGCTAGCTGCACGCACGCTGAGTAGATAAAAGGAAGATTTATGTCGATTTTGAAGATTTCCTGCAAAAAGATGAAGCACGATACAAGTAGATGCGAGAAATGAAAGATGATTTTTCGAAGATTGATTCGCTAGTGTGACAATAGTTGCAGTTGAAGAGTGGCTTATTAAAATAAAAAGAATCTTATTTTGAATATATTTGAATAAGTATTATCGAAACAATAACATGCAATATAATTTCAACCGGCATTGTTTGTTTAAATACAAATAAAAATATTTTTTGTTCAATGCAAACAATTTTCTATTCGTGAAGGTTGATGCAATTGGTTCCAAACATTTTAAAAAGTTTAACGAAAAAAAATGGTTCTAAGTATACAAAAAGATTTAAGATTAGAAGAAGTATTGGAGTGGGGTTTCCCCACTTTTTTGCCATAGCTACACTGAACGAATTTGACATATTCCTGTTATGTGGAAGTCTAATAAATTTGCGCTATAAGATAATCCATTGAAAATGATATGATTGAAAATGTGTCAGGTAAATTCTATATGAATATCTGATACATTTACAATGCTGATAATTTGGTAACTTTTATATGATCGTCATATGATAAATGAAAATCGATCAAATTATAATAATTAACTGAAATGGATTTGAAACCCATAAGCATAAGCTATACTTTTCACCACAATATAATATAAATCAATCGAAGTAAAGTTTATGTGAAAATAACATGAAATTTACTTCTTCATTTGATTTCTAAAAATAAATTCGAAAAAATAAACATCAGGCAGTGGGAGCTTTCACAGTTGTGCCTTTTTTTATTGTAGCTGATTTGGGATTCGATCAAGATCTGTTGAGGTGTGATGCTTTCTATGTCTGTGCTCGATTCCACTGGGCCACGGCTGACTTCAAGATTGAGCTCGTTCAAATAGCATGAAGTAAGAACAGCTCTCCCGACATGGAATGTAGTGCAACTTTATGCTCGTTTTGCTAGAGTGAAGACAAATAGCACTGACAAATTTATGTTCCGTTTCGGTGGTGTGGTTTGTTCAAATCTTTCTTAATGCACCTGTGTGCAATAAATCAACGACTAAATTATATGATTTGATAGAACTGGCTCATGAAGTTCGAGTACTACTTAGGGCTGGAATCTGAATTAGCCGTGTAGAAGGTTACAATTAGAATCATAGCAAAGTAAATATTACAATAGAATCATTTTTTTTTTTTCAATCTCAATACATTCTTTTCTGGAACCAATTATTATATGAAACAATAACAAACAAAGATTATTCAATACAGTATCATTGTTGTTAGTAGTATTCAGTTCAACTAATCATTTTAATGAGTGTACGTTAACATCGTTGAAAATTGTTTCAATAATTTATAAAGAACAATCATGTAAGATGTATTTTATTGGGAGCGATATTCATCCCAGAAAAACATGCAAAAATAAATGCTTGCTGTTGGATTTCTTAAAAGGCATTTCTATATGACTATTTAATTATTGGGATAGATCTGTTTACAATCTCTAAACCTCAAAAATCAAAGGAAGCTATTCCAATCAGACATACATGTTTTCCTATACTGCAAAGTTAAATGACAGTCCAATAGTTTCTACATGTCTATTTACATGCGACATATCAACAAACGTCAAAAATCAGTAAAAGCAACTCCAATAAAATATACATGATTATCTTATAAGATATATATTTTAGTGAGCAATATTCATCATGAAAACAGGTATATTTTACTGAATTTTCTCATAGTGCAAACTTATAAGATTTTCCATTAGTTTCTAGATGTCTGTTCCCACCCATGACATATCAACAGTTCTTCACCATGAAATATATCAGACAATATTCATATACATCTTACTTATCGCTAACCACGCTCGAAGCAAAGTATTATCAAGTACTAAGTATGTGAAATTACGATAGAAATCATTCCATATCGCAGTAATAGTTTTTAAGTGATAATCCAATGGAATCTATCAATCATCACATAAAATGAATAAATCTGCTGACATTGCTATGTTATAAGATGGATCCAATAAACGGTACATGCTGATTTGTTTCAGTGTACAGAAAAACAATACGTCTGGTTTACAATGACATTTCAGGTTTAATCGTTGGGTGGCGGGTCATTGCATACAAAATTGGCGAAAAATTTATACTTTTTTGATTGCAAACGTTTATATATTTGTTAACTGTGTGACGCGAGGTGAGGAGCTAGCTATATAGTTATAAATAAAGGACGTAAATAGTTAAGGAAAAACCAAGACATAAGTTCAAAAGTTCTAAGAAGACAGAGAATTATAAACCACGCTATAATTATTTTAATAGAATTGACTACCCCCTTGATCGCCTTTCACATTTTACAGCTGGTATAATCAATTTAACAGATCGATGTCTTTCTATACCACTTGACAACACTGAATTGGGGTCTTGATTATCGAGTTCCACATATGTTATGTGCATGGGTGGAATACATAATTATAATTTATTGCTAATTATTTCTACTCTATTCACATAGTTATCATACTTCCGGAAATCCTACGAGCTAAACTAAACTGTTGCTAAACTAAAATGGACGAGCAATTAAATGAGGTAACGGAAACATTGCATTTTTTAACTATCCATTAAAACACAATCATAATCGGTGCTCGTGGTTGGTATTATCCTTTATTTTTCAAACTGGACCACCTTTCTGTTTTATTACTTACTGCTAAAATTGGATGATACAGAAGTGTTACGGTATAGTCAAGATACACAAGATATGTTTACTTTGTACGACAGGTAACCGGTTCAATAGTTCAATAGGTGGACTTGGCTTCATTCTTGGCGTGAATCTGGACACAATTTTCCATGCATCAATGTTGTTTCAATTCTAGTGCCTGATTATTTTTTTCCATTTTTTTTTGCCACGTAGAAACTGAATGAAATCGTTAGAATTCAAGGTGAACTACAGACGGAAATAAGAAATCTCAAAGATGTCGGTGGCCGAGGCAAAATACGGGCAAGAGGCAAACACGATTCATTTCGTTATTTTGACCACAGGAAAATGGTAAATTTATTGCTCCACATACACACACACATACACACACACACACACACACACACACACACACACACACACACCCACACACACACACAACACAGGCACCAGGCACAAATTAAATGCACAGATAATTTCGTGTAAAGATTAAAAACATTTAAATAAAACTTTTAATTTTGTCGAACTTTTTAACGGAATCCCTTTATCGAGAGCTTTTGAGTGTGTTGCTTTATTTCCTTTTAATTACTTATATACAAGTTGTAGATTAAAAATGAATTTTTAAATGGTGTTTAGTACTTGGCACTGAGGAAGTCTGTAAGTAGTAGACGAAATATGCGTATCTGTCAAAAGTTAAGCAATTATAACAGAATTAAAAAGAAATAGATCAACACACTCAAAAGCTTTTCATATTTAAATAAGCTCAATACCAACAAAACTGCTCCTTTATTCACGGATGCACACTAGTCCGATCATTTTTAAATTACGGTACGCTAAACGTTTGCTAACGGAGGAGGACTTTTTCAATATTAAAACATATAACTAACGGTGACCAAATGCTGATCAATGTCAGAAATTGGTCAACCCGCCACTTGTTTTTGACAATGAATTTAAAAAAAAAAACGGCTACAGTCAGCTACAATTTGTACAAAAATCAAAAAGTCCATCTCAGTTACTGAACGTTTAGTATACAGTTTGAAAAATTTGTAAAAAAAAATCTAAAAATTGAAAATTAATTCAGAATTTGTACATTTTTTTTAATTAAATTCGTTTAAAAAATATAATGTCAATGATTTCTTAAATGTGTAATAATCTCTTGAAAGATTACTGACTTCCAAAACCTTAGAAAATTTTAATGAATTCGATTATCTGAATGTAGAGTGTGGAGTTTTTGCCGCTTTTCCTTCTTTCTAGATTCTTTGAAGCTGGAGATTTGATAGTAAAATGATAATATTTATATGAAACCAAAGAATAAAGGAATCCAGAAGATGATTATTGACAAATACTATACACGTACGTAAGAATAGCTCCATGCATTTTATTTTTTTTCCTTTGACGTGTTTTAATTTGTGCAAGGTGACATATTAATGGTATAAAACAAGCCAAAAAGTACTCCGTGGAAAAACACCCGATTCAGTTTTTCATACCTTTTCCATTCCAAATCCTTGAGCTTTTTGTTCAAAAATGCTACATAGCAAAACAAAATATTGAATTTCATAATGCAAATACTCAGGTCATTCCACTAGTTGTTTTGTTATGTTTTGTTTTGTTTTGTTTAATATTACAATCGGTACAGTTGAAAACCGGAATAACCCACAAGCAACAATCGATTTTACTCTCGTTCTGTACAGCTGCAGCTACAGCACACTACTTCCAATATTTTTTTTAAACTATAGAACGAGAGTAAAATCGATTAATAAATGCATCCATCAATGCAATATTGTATTTGATTTTTGCCATTGAATCAATATTTCCTACATCAGCATGGATAACATTGATCGATATTAAAATTTGTTATTGCTGTGTAACTTAAACGAAAAACTCCATCGGGCATTTTGTCCCAGGGTGCATTTTGGACTGTTTGTCCCGTATACAAACATGAATATTAGACTGATGCAAATTTTGACATTTTCGCTCCACAGTGCTCAAACGGTTCCAAATCGGGTCCTGATTAGTCTCCCAAAATTTGAACTCATTCGATAAGAAACTGACTTGGCACAAACCATTTGAAGTTTATATGGAAATTACTATAGGAAAACCAAATGTTTTGTTCATATCCATCTAACAATTTACCATATCGCTCTGCTTTAAAAAATGATAACTGAGCTCGTAGAAATTTTTCTCAGCCACAACTTTGTCCTTAACCACTTTTCAATATAATGTAAGCATCAAAAGTTATCAATAATTCAAGCCACTAATTTCTTACGATTATGCTCAATCAACTGTTCAGCAGGCAACATTGATGTTTCTGGTGCTTGGAATAGAGCACAAAAATCATGGCTACTATGTCACACTGCAAGATACAGTGGTGCTCACAAAACAGTTGCTTGATCATGCCATAAGATTATCAATCTGTTAAACAATTAATAACTATTTTATTTGACGTTTGGCTCAACAATTATATTCTGATAAGTTGAAGCTGAGAAAATTTTCCATAAGTATAGCTTTTGAATTTTTGAACAGTGCAATATGGAAAAAGGTAAGAAGACAATGAACAAAAAGTTTTGATTTCCCATAGTAATTTCCATATAAACTTCAAATGGTTTGTGCCAAGTCAGTTTTTTTGCAAATGAGTTCAAATTTTGGGAGACTAATCAGGACCCGATTTGGAACCGTATGAGCACTGTGGAGCGAAAATGTCAAAATTTGCATCAGTCTAATGAATATGCTTCGCTTACATCTTCGGTTTATTAAATTTCAAGAACAAGGGCATCGCAGATTTAAGGGCATTAACAGAGAATATCTCTAGACTCGGTAAAGCCCTTTACAAAAAACTGGACAACTCGACTCTGCCGGGCCATAGTAAGTTACGACCTATTTCATTCATAATCAACCTTCTTTTGACCATCATTATCTTTCCATAGCAGCCAGAGATTACAAAGAGCGCATCTTGCGCACCTTTACGGAGATAGAAGAGGTCGGCAAGCAGCTGAAATAATGAAAGTAAGTTAAAAATTC